TGACTCTGCAGATACCATCTGCTGCCCTGTTTAGTTTGTTGAAAAGTATAGATTCACACCTTTGTACCTCTGTTCAAGCAGTGAATAATAATCTGATTGCCTACAATCACGGATGTAGGAAAACAGAGCCTGGCTGTGTTCTAATTCACTGTGTGATTCTATCGATCCGGACTTGGCTTCACATAGAGGATAATACCCTGTAGTTTGTGATGAATAGATCTGGTTAGCATGCAATGTCTGATCTGTTGAAACGTAATAACTTAACCATTGTATTATTTGCTGGATTTCACATTAAGGGCTTCTCATTTTGCTGAATCTGGGTTTTACTTCTTGATTGTGATTTTCAAAAATCTAGATCTGTTTTTTGTTCCTGTTTATAAAGGAAATCTTATTGACCCCAAATCACATTTCCCAGACGTGGCCCTCCATAGCTCTGTTTGGAAAACTAGTGCTGTAGCAGTTAGACTTATTTGATAAAAAGGCCAACTCCTCCATTCCTCATTGCTGGAGGGCTTGTTTTTCTTTGTGGGTTGTGGATTCTGCCATCCAAACCACAATAAATGAATCCTAATTTCCTCCTTTATGACTCAGATAAGCTGTACACATTATGCAGAAACATTTGCAAAATTAAGTTTAGGTTCAGTGTGCAAAAATGTGCAAAATAGGCCATTCTAAAAATTGAAGGACACAGAGGAGTTAAAAAAATACCAGGAGAAAATTTCTTGTGTATCTGTTTACTGCATAACCAGTTCAGAGTTCTGCCAAAGGATCTTACAAGCCTTCCCTGGAGTCATCATCATCATCATTACAATAATAATAATTCCTTATATAGCACTTTTCTGGACACTCCACTCAAAGCTTTTTACAGGTAATTGGGACTCCCCTCCACCACCACCAGTGTGTACTACCCATCTGGTTGATGCAACAGCAGCCATAGTGTGCCAGAAAGCTCACCACACATCAGCTATTAGTGGAGAGGAGAGCAGAGTAATGAAGCCAGATTCATAGATGAGGATTATTTAGAGGCCTGGCAAAGGCCGGGGTGGCGGGGGAATTTGGCCAGCACACCGAAGTAAAACCCCTACTCTTTTCGAGAAACGCCCTGGATTTGTAATGTCCACTGAGAGTTAGGGCTTCGGTTTTAGGTCTTATCCAAAGAATGGCACCTTTTTTTACAATGTACAGTGTTTTTACAGGTTTTTAGTTTCCTCATCATTATAGTGGGACATTAGGACCCACACAGACTTGCCCACTAACACCTCTTCCAACAGCAATCCTAGCTTTCCCAGGCGGTCTCTCATCCAGGTACTGACCAGGCTCACATCTGCTTAGTTTCAGAGGGTTGCCAGTTATAAGCTGCAGTGAAGCAGAAAGGGACCTGCAGCCTGATGAGGCTGTTTTTTTCAGCTCATTCACTGCCTCTGGATCAGGTAGATCCAGTTAGACCTAGACTTGTCCTGTAACTAAAGCACCCAGACAAAATCCACGTAAACTCAGGGAGAATATAAAAACTCAACACAGATAGCATCCCAGAAATTGAACCCAGGAATCCCCAGAGCTGCAAGATAGTGATGCTAACCACTGCACCTTGCCGCCACTTTTATAAAAATAGGATTAAATATTGTTAAAAATTGGGAAATGCACAGTTTAAATCATGGCAGTTTAAAAACCATCAGCATCAGCAATGATGACTCATTACCACTTCAGAGTATAAACACATGGAAGTTAGTCCTGTTTTAGTAGTGCTCTTTAGTTCCCCAGTAAAAGTTCCCATATGCCGCCTCCACAAACCCATGTCTCCCACTCCCTTGTTGACCACTTGGTGGCCCAGATGAGAGTAGTGGCCCTCTAGAGTCTAGCGTCCTTGACATCAGAAGCTGATTCTAATGCTGTCCAGAGGTATATACGGTCGGTGTTACCCAGCAGTCCAGAGTATGTCCAGAGGCAAAGGGCTCATACAGACTCATTGAAAGCAGTTTCCTTCTTTATCTCCAAAAACACAGCTGCTAGATTGGAGTGCAGATTTTTCGTCCTGCTTGTCTGCCAGGAACTAAAAAACATTCCAGATCAAGTACTGATCCACATAGGGACAGCATGCTACTAAGAAAATGTGTTTAACTAAGCCTTCTTGCCCACACCACTCAGCCTATTTTTGGAAATGAAGGCAGGGTCCTGCAATGCCCTTGTCTTTTTAAATTCCCCTTGGCTCTTCCAAAGTGTTCCTATTTTGGTAGAATTTACCAAATGTACTACTTTACTAACTATGCCAGAGCTATCTGAATCATTAAATAAAATTTAGAAGAGCAGTATTCCTAATACAGATTTCTGTGATACTTCAGTAATTGCATCCTTCAAAATACTGCCACTGTTATTTAGGTCTTTAATGAGACTTTGTATTAATCATTTGAATGCCAGATGACAGCAAATGTGCTCAAGTCAATGTGCTGTGTCTGCATAGCTTAAGTTACATATTTTTTATTGCACTAGTGCTTCTATGCTATACTGTACTGTATGTTGCTATCAGAAAATTAAAAATCTCCTTATATTTAATACTGTCTAAAAATACTAGCTCTGCAATGCTTTTTGACTTTCATTTGCTGCAGATGTTCCTCCTCGGCAGTTCCTCAGCATGTTTGCATTCCCTAAAACTTTGGGAATCGAGGACACTAGCCCTCCCCAGATTTCTGCAGACCCCTCCAGGAGCTGCCCACAGCCCCCATTCCATTCATGGCTTCCATTACACTAATGAACAGTGAGGGCTCGCCTTCTCCCCCACGCCGCCTTTTTATAGCAATTAACAGGAAATTCCATCACATTTCTGCATTTCCACCTCAGTTTGCCATGCGGAAAAGGTCTTGGTGTATGCACTACCATACTGTAGCAACTGCTATTGAAGCTAGACTTGTTTCCGCCCCCTAAGTTCACGGGTCTAAAACACGTTTCACACGAGGCAGCAAAGAAAGGCCCGAGGGCCTCGGCTTGCTGGCTGGAAGGCATCTTGAGGACTGATAGGGTTTGAGCTGTCCCTGCTCTCCTCCTCAGTTCTGACAAGCTGTTGGAAAGGCACTGTTTGGGCAAGTTGCAGCAGGTATCGGAGACCCGACCGCTGGAATTCAAGGCTCTCTGCTTTATCAGGGCTGGAGCCGGTTAAGGAAATCAGGCAGTGGAAAATAAACAAACGGCCAGGGAAGGAGAGAGAAAGGGAAGACAAGCTACTGGCAATGTACTCGACCTCTGGACGGGGTGAAAACGGATTTTGCTGGCTGAACACAGAGGAGGTCCAGATTAGGTTATGTGCAGAGACATGGGAGCTGTGCTGAGCTGGGTAATTGTCTCTTTGAACTCCTGTTGTACAGTATATGCTGCTGTTTATATGGGTTGTTGGATCTTGAGTTATCTAAGGTGCCTTATTAATGTAAAATACAGTATTCTGTGCTAGAACCTTAGATATTAATGCCACAGTGGCTTAATATCATTTCTTTCTAGATGATGTGTGAATTACATCAGGTGCAGGTGAGAGTAAAGTACAAATATTAATGAAGATCCCCTCTGATTCTGTTGCTATTGTGATTATTCTCAGTAGGTCTGTTGTGATTACTTGTTGCCGAAGGCAATGAAAACTGAGCTACAGTAATTATTGCACCTTTACTTGCTTAAATGGATAAAAATGAATTTTCTGCCTTTGCTGTATTGTATCAGATAGCAAGAGCTTAAAAAAGAGATCTATTAGAATGTAGAAAACAACTGTGTGGTGAATGTCAGGAAGATTTAATTGTTTAGAAATTGAGTAGTGATTTTGTGTGTTAAATGCTTGATTAGAGTACTATAAAATAACAACAGTAAAAATTGCTTCCCTTTGGAAAACTGAGTTTTAGATTTGTTGTTTCCCAGAGGTCAACTCCCAAATGTCATGCTATGTAGGAATAAGCAATCTGAGCAGAACTCAGGTTTTCTGTACTCAGTCAGCAGTAACTAGCAGAGATTTCATAATGTACAAAATTGAATGGATTAAAATAATACATAAAAATGTATTACTGCTACATAACAGTAAAATACTGTTCACACCAAAATGCTGAGGAGGTGAAGTACCTTAGGGCATATTATAGGTGTACAGTATGTGACATTTTTGTCCCAGGTGCTGAAGCAATCCGTTAAACCTCTAATTTTGTAATTATCATACCACCACAGTTACACAAGCAGACATATGTTCCTTTTTATTCACCTATTAAAGATTGAAACCATTCCAGCACTGTGTTTCGACAAATGATGGGATTTTACTTTATAAAGTAAAATAGCCCTGAGGTAAGCGAGACAAAATGAAAAATCAGGCTATGGAAGCTAAATTAAACAGCAGTGTCCAGTGATAAAGATAAGGTGGTCGTCCGCTGTTGCAGTATTGTATTTTAATTAAGGTTTGATTAATATGCCTTAATTAAAATGTCTTAGAACACCAAAACAAACCAAAAAATGTTGTACTGAATTGATAATGTACCTTATTTTTTCATATTCATTTAGCAGAGAATATGATAATAAACCCTAGGTTAAACAGTAGTCATTATCAAGACATTTTCCATGTCAAAAACCAGTCATATGCACAAACGTGCAGTAAAAACAAATAGGCAGACACATACTGTATTGCTAGATTTACATTCAGGTCTTTAGATAAATGGGTAGAGATCCAAAAGTAGGATTCATGTCTCCTCTTGTAAAGACCAGTACTGCATTCATCTGGGCACTGATCACTGCTTCTCACAGGTAGATGAGGTGTAAAAAATGACGACATGATGAGAAAGCTGTGAGATGTGGGCGTGGGAAAACTGTATAAGAGAAGCCGCTTGTCATATCCAGAAGGATTGGGAATGACTAGTGTTCCAGGGAATAACATATTTCAGACATGACAACTCAGTGTCATTATATGGGCTTTAAAAAATCTGAAATAAGAGATGTCTGTAGTGATGGCAAACCGTTATCTTCTGTTTTTTATCGTCTTTTTTTCACAGGCTCCAGAAATAGTTGAGGACTCTGCAAATGGCTGTGACTGTGTAGAAGAAGGGGACTCTGGCCCTGAAGAATTACCAGACACTCGGGAATCAAGTGAGCCTGCGGTTGAGAACACAGAGGAGTACTTTGACACACGCTCATGGCACAGTGACACTTTCTCAGACATCAGCCCTGATAGCTGCGAAGACCCGGCTTTAACAGCGCCAGGGCCTGATAACACATGCACTGAGTGGCAACTGGAATCTACCTTTGAACCTAAAGCAGACCAGTGTGAAAACAGCTTGGAGTGCCAGCCAGCGTCTTTGAATCTTAATGGGGAAACACATAAAAAAATCTGTGACAGGCTCCAAAATGTAAATGAAGAGTTTTCTGACAATCTCCATTTAGAGTCGCAGTGTCCAAGTTGTGCAAGCAATGAGTGTCCCCTTTTGCCGGAATGGGGACAACAGCCAGATGCAGATCCTTCAGCGAGTACAACTGGGGACAAAACGTTATCTGAGGAAGCTGGACTTCCCCATGTTTCAAATCAAACTGTTCCTGAAATTGTTACGCTGCCTGCTGCTGGAATTTCAGAGAATGTGGAATCAAGCTTAACAAAATCACAGTCTAACTCCACTGAGGTATATACTGATGACACACCTCTAGAGTTTGAGGTTGGAACTGCATCCTCTTTCTGGCTTTCTGGCACAGAAGACACCACGCTGACAGAAGAGGATGGAAGGCAGCAGAAGAATCTTACTCAGAGCTTCTCGGGTTGCGGGGAGGACTTAGATGATGAGACGAGTTTAGAGACTCGAAAGCTTGTTGCAGACCTTCTGGAGTCATTCAGTCAGGACAAGGTGGAGCAAAATCGGGACGAGGACAAACCTGAAACGGAGTACAGTCAGGCTTGTGGGGAAAGGGAAGGATCCTCAGCTTCAAACTATCCAGAGGGAGACCTGCAAACAGCACAACCTGTCGATGTTCTGGTAGCACCCTCTGCTGGAGAGGCAGTGCAAGAATTCCTGGGTTTTCCAGATGTCGACTGTGACCTCATTTACTCCAGCAGCTCAGAAATTGCGGGTTCAACCAAGCAGGACCTGAACACCTCACTACATGAACACAGTGAACAGTTAATTCATACCTCATTAGAGAGCGAGGATGTTTGTTTTCTGCAAGGAAAATCTGTACAAGATGCAGACTCTAGCACAAGGACATTTAGAAGTTTAGATAATGTAGGATTATACAATTTAACAAATAAGGTGGAATTTGATTCATGCAGTCCCATTAACAGCACACCTGATAGTGCAGGTAATTTGCAGTTGAACAGTAAACAATCTGCAAATGCTAACTCTTATCCAATTTCTGAGTTAGTTGAGGTGACAAGAAAAAGATCTGTGGAAACTGAGCATGTTGGTAAACCTAATAGACTTGAGGAAACTGACTCTTTCCAGGAAGAAAATCAAAAAACAAGTTACACAGATCTGGATGATATTCCAGTGAGGAGGATAGAAAATACATTGGGCACAAATTCCTTAATTTGCAAACCAGTGAAATCAGAATTGAATCAGATAGAATGTAGTACTCCACCTGGGCAAACCCATTACACGGAATTTCTTGCCACCTCTGAAACACAGTCAGACACAAATAACAACACAGAGACAAATTTAGAGTCATGCACCACTGATCCACTTAAAACAACAGAGTTAGTTAAGACGCAAGAAGATGTCCCTACAGAGGAATTAATCCGAACAGCTGAGGAAGTAGTAGATTCACTCTTAGAAGAGATTAAGAATCATTCCGAGAATGACACTGTAAATTCCTCTTCTTTCTGTGAAGAAGTCTCTGACCACTGTATTCCCATTCATACAAGCATAGACAATGATACAACCTCTTCTAGCTGTTCAGAATGTGAAAATAACACTGCCGACATTGAAGACACTTTAAGCACCCTGGACTATGTACCAAACTGGAGCAGTGAAGAATCCATTTCAGGTCTAGAAGCAATTCAATTTGTCTGTGAACTTGATGTTTCTGTGGAGGAAGCGTTAGAAAGATTTCAGGAGAGCGATTTGTTGAGTGACTTCAACAATACAGATAGCATCAGCCAAGAGGGTGACTCACACAGCACAGTTCCCTCAGATACAGATACGAACACTGGACGAAATGTAGACGATGACCAAATAAATTTAAAGATCAACACACATACTGCAAGTTCTCAAGTACAAACACGCAATTCTGAGAACAGAAGAAGAAAATCCCTTTGTAAGGAAAAGACAGAAGATGTAGATTGCTGTGTAGATAAAGGACGGGGGTCACTAGCCAGCTACTTGGAAACTAGAGGAATATATTTGCAAACCATAGAAAATGAAGTGTACAATGAAGATATAGCTAAAGAATCAACAGTTACTATTGAGGCAAGAGCTTGTAAATTAACTGAAGAATGCAATGAATCATTTGACAACAATTCACAGTTAGAGCAATTGTCCCAAGACATTGAGGGAGTGCCAAACATAGATCTGGATATAAGCTCAGATGTGAAATTGGTCATAAATACAGACCCTGTTTTTGTGGAATCTGATAATAGTCAAGAAAAATCATCTTCTGTAACATATGAAGATGGTTTAGCTGCAAGTGAGGTAGATGATTCTGACATTTCTTCAGAGTCTGGTGTCTTATTGGGCACAGTAACCTCTGAGGAGGACCAGGGCATTAGCGGTGATAAACCTGCTTTTCAAGGTACAGCAGTTACAGTCCATAGCACAAAGGCAGATTCGGTCAACACAGGTACAGAACTACAGAAAAGAGTTTCCCCAGTGGAGCCTATCACTAGCAAGATGATGACGCCTCTCATCAATGGATACGCAACAAGTGAAGGTCCGCACAGTCCAATGATGGTGACCCAGGATGGCACCGGCACCAACAGCGAGGACAACATGCAAATGATTCTTGGGAACAATGCTAGTGTTCACAAAGCTGCGAAGAAACAAGGGTCAAAGAGTGGCTCTATGGGAAAGTCTTCCAAGTTTTCTGTGTTTTCTAAGATGCCTTCTTTTAGAAGGAGTAAAAATTATACCCGGGAGGGCAAGGACAAGGTGGAGAACTCTGCTAGGGACCAACAGGATAGCAGTGGAGAGAAAAGGGAAGGCAGCTCAGGCAAGAACAGTCCACCAGTTTACGTGGGTCACTCTTGTTATTACAAGGCACACCTGCCTATTAGCATGGAAACACTCCAGTCCTCCCTAAAGGAAGAGGAGCATCAGACAGATAATTCGGATGATGATGTGTTTGATAAGGACAGTGTTTTTAATCAAACAGTGAAAAAGGATTTTGCTGACAGTCTGTCTGAAGCAGATGAAAACAGTTTTTACCCCCTTACACCCAGAACCAAGCACATTACAAAACGTTTTAACCAGAACTCAAGCTCAGTGGACACTGATACAGTCAGCAACCCAGAGTGTGAAAATCTTAAGAGCTCACAAACAGGACATGGAGTGGCCTACAAGAGAAGCAAAAGTACAGACAACCTGAACTTGCGCATGAGGCTAGCCCTGGCTCACAAATCCTTATCCAGCTTCTTTGAGTCCAAAATTACAGATAAGGAAAGCGAGGAGCAACTGCCAAAGAGTGTAAGTGATGAGACCAGGTCAAAACAGGTGTCCTGGAGAAAGTTCAAAAGGACCAAGGAAGCAGAGATGTTGAAAAGAGCCATGTCGGTCCCAGACGCCCACAACACCAGGCCTAGGCGGCATATCCACAGTGACTATGCCTCCAAGACTACACAGGAAATGGCAGATTGCCATGGGACTCCTGCCAGCCAGAGAGGCAGCCATCTCATGGACTCCCTGAGCAAGAGCCAGGATGCTTTAGAGATGGCAACAGAGGAAGTCAAGCCAGGAGAGACCAGAAAGAAAAGAGGTGCACCTAACGGGCTGTCAATAGTGTGCTCAGATTCCAGCTTTCCAACATTGAATGCCTCGAGGACTGATTGTGAAGCTCTTCCTCCAGGGGACTCCAGCCCTTTGTCTCCTATAAGTCCCAGCAACCTGGCTGCTCCAGCTAATCAGCTGACACCCTCTTGGTCCAGGACTTCCCCACCCTCCGAAGGGATGGAAGTTCCCTTGAGGCCGATGAGCCCCAAACCTCAAAGCCCACGCCCTGGGACCAACAGGCGGAGTTTTCGGTACCCTTGCCGGGCCAGTGCCATATCCCTGATTTCCCTGGGCATCGGTGCCAGCGTGGAGGGACTGTCTGATCCACCCGAGCGCCCAAAAACATTGAAGCCTCGAGCCTCCCAGCTCCTGTCCCTCCACTCCCTGGACACGGACTTCCGGAAGGAAGAGGGGAGCGCGGGCAGCCTTGTTAACTCCACTTCAGTCAGCGACTTCATGAAAGATGAGGTAAGGTGGTACTGGGAAGGAGGTTGCTGGGAAGGAGTTTCCTGGTATTCACTAACATAAATATCGCTCGTACTTGTCTGCTCACCTGTTCCCCACACCTTCGTCCTCGTAGCAGGTTTAACAAAACTCTAAGAGACATAACTCATATCTCATGTCTCATGTCTTAGCCTTCACAAACATAGAGGAATGGAGCTGGTTTCTGTTTCCTCACTGTGCTGCTGGCTGAGGCTCCCCCAATCCACCTGTGAAGGCATTCCAACTTTGACAACTGTAATTGAGCTGAAAGAGACTTTATCTGATAGGCAACAGATTGCAAAACCTTCAGTATCCAATTGTTTCTTCATTTTCCATTTTAGTTATACAGTTATGTACAGTGTAGTTTATGTTAATAAAACCAAATTGTGGATAGCAGTGAATTGGGACAAATGATCAAAGCAGTTTTATATTCTGTTTTAACTGCATAATCCAGGAGGAAAATTGGGAAAGGTATTTTGAATGCATACATTTAGAAACAATCTTCTGTTTGTACTGATACTGTAAGTGTACCTAGTTCCACACTGTTAATCACACACTATGAAATCCTCTGTATCTCTAAAAAAGAAGTCTTTGTTGTTCACGTTGACCATCGTGGCAGACTTGAGAAACGTGCTCCTGTTGAGAGAGAGCCTGTCTTCAGTCAGAGCCTTGAAAGTGCTCACTCTTCTCTTTAATGCCCCTGTCCAGTCATGGATGAGCATGAATAGCTGGCTCTCGCACTCAATCCATCTTCCCTCTATACAGTACCTAGCTGTCTAGCAGCCCTGCCACTGTGTGCCCATATTTACTGGCTATGGCAATCTGTTCCCTTTTCAAACAATAAGCCCCTTCATCTTTCACTGTTCTTTCCTTTTCAAGATGGATAAGGAGGAATGAAATAAGTGGAGTCAGCTTTTTTGCTGCTGTCTCTCTCCCCAGAGTTTTGTGATCTGACAGAGCAAGCTCCTTAAGGAATTTATTTTGTGTGTGTTAGGCTTTAACTGCACTGCGCATGTGTATGGAGCGTTATAAATTGTAAATTGCCGGCGCTATCTAGTGGTGTACAAGTGTAAGTTCACACACACATAAAGCTAGAGAATGGAACTAAGGCGCATCCGTTAAGTGAAGTTATCCACTGAATGTACATGATCATTTCAAACCAGTGCCTGAAATACTTTAGCAGATGGAGGATGTGTTAAAAAAATGGTATTATGGGGAACAAATCACACAATTAAATGTACTTCAGGCAAATTTGTGAAAGGTTAAAGGTAATGATTAAATGAAATGTTTAAGATTAGAGATCTATTTGTGTTGAATGTCTGTGGTTACATTTTATTCCCATTCACATCCAGATGAAAATAATAAAAAATTTACAGATTCGTTTATGCTCACAGTTTCCACCTAATGCCTGTGCAGGACGTTAGTAAACCAGCAAGCCCAGCGACACCAGAAAAAAGGGTGCTTGATCAGGTGGCCATGCTGAGAACCAAGCGCCTCGCGCAGACCTCGCCTGTGCCGAGACCTCTCTCTGACCTGGGCAGCTGGACCCTGCCCTTGCACAGGCGGGGGGAGATGCCGCTCGCTGCTGGGGAAGGCAGGAAGGCCAAGGGGAGGCGCTACTGCTCGGATGACCTGTGGATAGAGGAGGAGAAGAAACGCAAGAGGAAGAGGGCCAGGGAGGTGCAGAGCAGCATGGGCAGGCTGGCTGTGGAGCTGCCTGAGGAGCTGGAGAAAGTAAGATACCATCTCCAGACGCTGGCAGGGCTCCTGCAGCCCTCTTCCCCACCACCTGCGCTCTCGCTTCTTCAAGACCTTCTTCTGCTGTTGTTGTTTTTTCATACTCTGCCTTCACCTTTGCTTCTGATCTCCCTTGGCTCTTTGCCTCCTACTCTCTGTGACTTCCTGTGCTTTTTCCTCGGGCCCTGTCTGCTTGGCCAACCTTCTTGCAAGATCTTCTGTCTTTCTTGACTGAACTCCGAAGATGAGAAATTCCTTCAGCCTTCGCCGCGTGATTTTCTGAAGACTGTGACTAACTCTCCTCGCTAGCACAAAGAGTGGTCCAGCAACAGACTCCAACAGCTCCCTGCAGACGTCTGAGAAAACTGCTACAGGCGCTTCTCAGAGTTTGTTTCAAATTGCAGTTGTGCAGCTTCTTAAAAAACGGGAATCTGTATAACAGATTACATTTCCTTCCCTTTCATTAGAATGTAAAAAGGTACAATTTCTGCACAAGGCTTTTGCCTGGTGATTTTCTCAGTGTAAAAAATAAAAAGAGATCTCACTGGCATGTTTCTGTTTTTTTTCTTTTGCTTTTAAGGTCAGAGCACGCCTGTCCCTGACTCCCGCAGTGCCCTTTCCCACTCTGCCCCTGAAGGACCATTGCTTCTCCCAGAGTACCCCAATTGGCCTGGACTGCTTGGGCTGGCGGAGGCGAATCTCCTATCCAGGTGAGTACTGCTCTGGGTCTCTCTTTGCCCTCTCTACCTGCTGCACTGAAGAAGATGAGCAGAGAAGTACATTTCTTCATGTCCTGGTGCTTATGGCCTGAATACCTCTGTGAGCCTATTCCTTCCTCCTCAGGGTCACAGGATCTGAAGTACCATCTGTAGCATTGCATCTTATCAGGTAGCCATGCCTGACTGGCAGGTGTTCTCTCCTCCTGTACAGTTTGATACTGTTCTGTACTAGTGTCACTCAGGACACAGTACGTTGTTCATTGTCTGTTGTGTTCATGTCATGTCAGAAGGCACATTCTGCAATTGTGGATGAGCTGCTTTTAGGTTTACTTTACCCTTGCAGTTAGAATTTAAAATGTCCTTTATGAAGTACACAACTGATAAGAAATGTGGAGTTTCTAAACACTTTCTCATAAGGATTTCTTTTATTGCTCTGGGTGTTAAGCTGCTGCTGTCTGTTACTGATTGAAAAACTCCTGCATTGATTCCAAGTCAGTGGAGCAGCCTGATGGTTAGTATGGCAGCCTCACAGCTCTTAGGTCACAGGTTTGATAGTAAGCCAGGGCTCTTTCGGTGTGGAGTTTGCTTTTTTGTCCCTGGGTCCGTATCCATTTTCTGCTTCCTCCTACCCCCCCAAAGACATACTAGCTAGGTTAATTATTCTTGGCTAATTGTTGTCTGTGTGGATAACCTTCAATGGACTGGCTTACTGAAAAAGACTCCTGATATCAGAGTCCTGATATCAGCTCTGTGCTTGCAGATAGGCAAAAGCAATGTTTAAAAACAATCTTGTCAAGCATGAGATTCTGTAAAATTCTGGACATTCAGGATTCATTG